CCAATGGGATTTGACAGCCCCTGGGCAAGATGACTTGCAGCTTATGGCAGGAGTTGCTCCCAGGGCCTGGTAGTTGAGCAAGGCCCAGCCCTGTCAGGCTGCTAAGGCAGCTAAGCCTTCATGGTTAGAGCAAGAACACAAGCTCCCAAAAAAGACATTGAGTGATGTCAAGGTCAACATCTCCAGCTAATGAACTTGATCCTACCTAAACAACATGATTCCTGAGTCTCAGCTATTTGGACTTTAGAACAATGGTCAATTATTTCTATTTCTCCAAGAGACATTGGACATTATCTTTTGTCTTCCCATGCTGCGAGATCCTGTATCAGTGACATGATTTGATTTATTAAATTTTATGGATTTTAACTGGTCTTTTTTGTATCTTATCCCATATCTAATAGATAGCCAGTTACAGCCTTAATAAGATACAAGCTGCTTGAAAACCAGAACAAAAGAGAGATAGAGAAATTATAAAAGAGAGACCTCATAAAATCAGGCCTTGCTTTGCTAAATTAGCTGGCCTGTCACTTCTAAGAGGAGCTAAGTAGTTTGCAAGTTCCCATGTGAAAACATTTGAGAATGAGTGTTTGTTAACACAACCATCTATTCCTAGGGTGAAAAACAAGTGGTTGTCAGAGACTGGAAAGATTGATGTCCAGGCTGATGGCCTTATGAGAATTGAAATGTTGTATCTGATTCTCAATATGTAAGCAATTGAGTTTGTAGTTTAGATTGTGCTGTTCTGAAAGAGGTAAATAAAAAGGAATTGTTTTATTTGCTGAGAACATTATGGCATACTTTATGCCAACAAACTGCACCATTTTATATTCCTCATTTTTATAGTCATACCAGCTTGCCTGGGTTCATTGTAGAAGGAAATGACTGTGCAGATAACAGTCCCAGTGTGGGCTGCCCTGGTACCAGATACATTACACCAGGCAATTCAGTCACATCAGTTTTTCCATCAAGGGGCTCATGCCCTACGACCTCAATTCCATCTTACATCTGCAGCAGCACGTGATACCATTACCTCGTGCTCTGATTATCAGCAACATGCCACCATAACCCAGGATGGGTCAAACCCCAGAGGGCTACAAGCTCTTCAGCTGTGGCAATCTGACATTACTCATGTTTCAGAATTTGGTCCCTTAAATATGTTCCTGTTTCTGTGGACGCCTACTCTGAGGCCTGTTGGGCCTCTGTGGTGTGGACATGCAGATTTAGGTACAAGGAAGAAATTTTTTTAGACTGAGGGTGGTGAAACCCTGGAACAGATTACCCAGAGAGGCTGTAGATGGTCAATCTGTCCTTCTTCCAGCCAGGATTGGTAATTTTTGCAGCATGATAGCCATGTGGCCAGGACCCAGAGGTTATTCTGTCCCACCTTACATCATTGGCAGGGGGAAGGAGGACAAGGGGTCATTTCTGCTCGAATAAGCATAGCAGAGAGAATGTGGTGGCTTGGTTCCAAGCCAAGGGGAGCAGGTTCAATGTGAATTATTTTCCCCCCCAAAGGCCAGAATGAACAGGGGATGGGCAAGAGGTTGGTAGGAAACACATCCAGGACAGCTGACCCTAACAGACCAAAGGGATATTCCCTTTGGAGTCACAGAATGGCTGAGGTTGGAAGGGACCTCCAGAGATTAAGTGAGGACTTAAAGAGCACAGTTGCCTGTCCTAAACACTGTCAAGATCACAGTGGAAGGAACTTGCCATAAGATGAACCACAGTAGGAACTTGAGATAAGCACAGAAGAGAGAAATTGTGACAGAAAGGTGCTCAAGCCAGGCCTGGCAGAGGTGACATCTGGTTAGCACAGGCAAACAACATTGAATATATATTCCAAATTAAATTCATTGCCTCTGATGTTAGCATGCAATAAACATAGCATATTAACAAAGAAATTTTGATTCCTCTCTGTGGCCTTAAAAAGGCCATCATGATGAACAAATAGTTCCCCAAGTGTGGAAATAGATACAGGGTAAAGTACAACATCCATGTGAATACATCAGGCATCATGTGTATTTGTGTACCCCAATACACAAATGCTTTAGAAAAAAATTGCAATTCCAACTTCTCTCTCTCACCTCACACTGAGTGCCAAAAGATATGCTGGTTTCTAAGTAAACTGGTGGGAGAATAAGCCCCACTCAATGACATTGAGAGAGATTTCAGGCTGGAGTTACCTGTATCAGAGGCTGGGAAAGGTGATCTCTTCAGAGACATCTTGGGAGCTTGGAATGTGTGTAGGGGATGGGTCAGACCTTGCTCTGGTGAGGTGCTGCCCTGTCCCCATACACAGCAGCTCCACAGACAGGCTGAGAGAGTTGGGGGTGCTCTGGGGAGACCTTGCAGCCGCCTTCCAGTGCATTAAAGAAACCAACAAGAAGCCTGGAGAGGGATTTTTTGCCAGGGCATGTACTGACAGGACAAGGGTAAATGACCTTAAGCAGAAGTTCTACAACAGCGGGCTGGAACTAGATGATCTTTAAGGTCCCTTCCAACCCTAATCATTCCATGATTCTCTTAAAAAATTTGTAAATATAAAGTGTATCTGGGCATAAATAAAATACATGTACAATGTAAAGTTGTGCCCAGGTGCACTGACCAACCACAGAAGGGAACAGAGGCCACACAGGTGCAATGCACAAATATGAGGGGTATAAAAGGTTGGGCTAAAGAACAAGAAGGGCAGATGCTTGAAGCCTTCTGAAGTGATATGATGTTACTGTGTGTGGGTTGAAGCCTTCTGAAGTGGAATGATGTTACTCTGTATGGGTTGAAGCTTTCTGATATTGTATGGTGACACTCTGTGTGTTGTGGCTGTCTCAACTGCGACATATACACACATATATGCCCACTGTCTTGTTACCCTATAAACAGTGGTCCAAAATGGGACCTTGTGAGCCCTTCTGGACTGCAGAGGCTGTGACCAGCAACCTCCCTCTGAGTGGGGCCTCTCAGTGAGTGAACTCTCAAGTTTACTGCTCTCAGAGAATCCCTGATGAATCCTTGGCTGCGACCCTCACTCCTCAAGGCTCGAGGAGATAAAAAGATAAGGCATTTGTCGCAGACATCCTTTCACTAAAAATCCTTTCTTTAGGATTTTTCCTTCTGAGAAGCTGAGAGGCCTCAGAGACAGAATGTAAACTGGTTATCTGCTGCTGTGGAATGCAACAGGCCCACCTGTGATTTGCCCATCTTGGATGTGTATAATTAATGGCCAATCAAGGATCAAGCTATCTCGGACAGAGTCCAAGAGAGCTGCCTTTGTTATCCTTATTCTATTCTTAGCTTAGCTACCATCTGAGAAAACCCTATCCTTCTTTTTCTTTTTAGTATAGTTATAATGTAATATATATATATAATAAAATAATAAATCAAGCCTTCTGATCATAGAGTCAACATTCTCGTCTCTTCCCTCATCCAAGAACCCCTGTGAACACAGTCACAGGCATCTGAAGTGAATATTTCACTGCCTTTGAGGGGAATTTTTTGCAGTTACCTTGTACAGACTCTTTATGTCTGTGTGCATGCAAGTGTGCCTATGCTATAGTAAATGTGGGAGAAATGCTTTCCACAGCTACAGCTGCTCTGAAGTTGCACAGGTAAATTTGGCCATAACAGAATCCCAATTTGGCTAGCCTGGTTTGTAAACCAGTCCCCAGGTGAGGCAATGATAGGTTCTCCTGCTGGAAAATATATAAGTTTAAAAAATTTTTATGTAACTTCAACCAGGGTTATTCACCTTTGCCCTGGGGGAAGGGAACTGAAGCTTCTTTCCAGGGCACTGTTTATCTGTGTGAGGCCTGATGAACTCAGCATATCAACAGACTGGGAATAGCCCCAAAGAAATAAAGGCCCTCAACAGAACATCAGCAGCCATTTAGGAACATCTACCCCAGACTCTGCCTCTGGCACAGTTGGAGATACCTCCTGAAAAGCCTGATAAGAAAATCAAGGAATGAAAATCTAATTAACATCAGAAAGAAAGAAATCCAGATCCAATAGGCCACCAAATATAAGAACTTTGCAACCTGGGACTAATGAATGCCGTCTGAATTCATTTCTATGAGTTTTGACTGTATAAAACATCTGAAAAATCTTGTAAAAGCAGTGTGTGGTGGAATGATTCATTCTCTGTGGACAACTGGGCTATGTGTGTGGATGAGATGCTTTCTGTGGTACATGCTGGCCAGAACAACATCCTGGCCAGATAATAAAATAATGCCTTGACTCTCTAACTTTAAAAATGTTGGAGGGTGCCTTGGGTTGCAATGCAAGATGTAACCAAAAGCATGTATACTATTACTATCTGTTAAAAGGAGGTGGGGCAGTTTTCCTTATCTCTTCCAGGACCCATCCTCCCTCCAGAGGGTTATCTTCTGTTAATGGGCCATTAAGTGTCCCTGCATGGCTGATAAAATTCCATCATCCCATTGTGAGATGCTCCACCCAGGGGGAGGAGCCAGGCATTCCAAACTGGATATAATGTCAAGTTTGAAACACCACAGCAGCCTTTTCCACTGGACTCTCAGAGGAGCAGCTTTCTTCTCCACTGCATTCCCAGAGGAAGGCCCATCTACAGCACCACTGGATCTCCAGAGTAAAACTCCACCCTTCTACAGGATCCCTGCTCCTCCAGAACCACATCTGTCACTGCAGGAGGGCTACAGCCACCATTTAATGGGACTGCTGCCAGCACCCTACCCACAGGAGGTCAGGTCTATTCTGACTCTGGCAGTGGTTTTGTACTACTTCATTTTACTTTAAATTGTAGTTGTGACTTGGGATCTCCCACTGGTTTGCTTTTGAACCAGCACAGAGGGTTTTTGTTTTTTCCAGAGTTGTGGTTCCAAAATTCTTAAGCACTTGACTTTTTTAAAGTAAGATAGGGCTGTAGGTAAATTACTATTAAGTAATTGGCCGCTGCCGTTTCCAGAGGGGCAGGATCTGCACAGTCACAGGGTTGGGAGCAGGATCAGGACAGGGTTGGTGTCATGGGGAAGTCAGATTTCCTCAGCCCCAAGGCCATCTCCAACCGTATCAAATCCAAGGGGCTGCAGAAGCTGCGCTGGTACTGCCAGATGTGCCAGAAGCAGTGCCGTGATGAGAATGGCTTCAAGTGTCACTGCATGTCCCAGTCCCACCAGAGACAGCTGCTGCTGGCTGCTGAGAACCCCCAGCAGTTCATGGATTACTTCTCCGAGGAATTCCGAAGGGATTTCCTGGAGTTGCTCAGGAGGCAGTTTGGAACAAGGAGAGTGCACAACAATGTTGTGTACAACGAGTACATCAGCCATCGGGAGCACATCCACATGAATGCCACACAGTGGGAGACCCTGACTGACTTCACCAAGTGGCTGGGGAGAGAAGGGCTTTGCAGGGTTGATGAGACCCCTAAAGGCTGGTACATCCAGTACATCGACAGGGACCCAGAGACCATTCACAGGCAGCAGGAACAAGAGAGGAAGAAGAAGCAGGACCTTGACGATGAAGAAAAAACTGCTAAATTAATTGAACAACAAGTTAGAAGAGGTTTGGAGGGGAAAGAACTGGAAATGCCAGTCTATACTGAATTGAACAGAGAAAACAAAGGAAAAGTTACATTTAAATTAAACAAAGGATCAAGTACTTCAGTTGCAGCATCTTCTCAAACAAGTGTCCTTGCACTGAAGATGGTGGAGGGTGCAGTTAAAAGAGCAGGAGCAGCTTATTGCTCTGGTCAACCCAAAAAGAAAAAGAAGAAATCTGCACTGGATGAGATCATGGAGCTTGAAGAGGAGAAGAAAAGAACATCTCGAACAGACTACTGGCTACAGACTGACATCATTGTAAGAATTGTGACAAAAAAGCTCGAAGGCAAGTACCACAGGAAGAAGGCAGTTGTTAAGGAAGTGATTGACAAATACACAGCAATCGTGAAGGTGATTGACTCTGGGGACAAACTGAAGCTCGATCAGACACATCTAGAAACTGTAATACCAGCACCAGGCAAGAAAGTACTGGTGTTAAACGGTGGGTACAGGGGAAATGAAGGCATTTTGGAGTCCATCAATGAGAAGAGGTTTTCAGTGACAATAACCATCGACTCAGGACCTTTAAAAGGGCGCAGAGTTGAAGATATTCAGTATGAAGATGTTTCCAAACTTGCCTGAGGTGCTAAATCATGCATCAGAGAAGATTTGAATTCTCAAAGCCTTCTTCCTGACATCTTTCAGGCAGACACAATGCTCTGTAGAATAGTCAATCCTAAATGAGTCCTTTGCTAAATTGTTACATTTAAGTTTTAAGTTAAGCTAAATGCTGTTCAGTTTAAATGTTGTAAAGTGCTGTTGAACCTTTAGTTCATACTCCTTTTTATCCTTACCCCTTTATCCTTTGTCACACCCCCCTCCTACACCCCCTACCTCCATGTAAATAGTTTTCAGTTTATTTTGGTTTGGATTGATTGACTCTGGATTTTTCTTTCTTGCTTTTCCTTGGTGTGCCTTCACCATCTAAAAAATAGTAGAGCGAACCTTGCAAACAATGTTATAAATGTCAATATAAGTATTGGCTTTCACATTTATGTATTTGTTTTTGCAAGTTATTATTGATCAAAATTATTTTAAGATAGTACTATTTGTAACCCATTTTAACTGCTTTAACATAGTATAAAAAGCAGTTTTTGACAGTTTTTTTCTGTCAGCTTTGCAGCCAATGTTCTGGCCATGGGTAGTTTATAAATAGTACTGTGATAAATATATTATAGCTTAGACCTTTGCATAATATTAAAATAGAAACTGTGTACTGTTAAATATTTTTATTTTCACTAACTCAAAGTTGTGAAATAGCTATGTTGATTCCATTTATTTGTGGATTATCTTATCTGAATGATGAGATAACAGTGACAATAATCAGGACACCAAGAGAAAGATTTACTACTGACTCTCCAGTTTTCAGGAACTGTCAGAACAACAGAATGGAACCTCGAGAAGAAATAGAATACATTGATTTGATCCACAGGATGACCTGCAGACAAGTCAAAGGTAAAACAAAGCAACAGAATTCCCAGAATATGTAAAACCACAGGAATGTTTGAATACCTATAACATCATTCATATGAATTTAACCAATGTAATTAAAAGTATATAAGAAAATTTTTTTAAGCTAACAGTGTGCTTTTGGCAGCACCCAAGCACTAGATATTGTCCTTTTTATCCATTATTAAACTTCTACAAATTTTAAAGAGTGAGCGTTATTTCTCACAACTAATAGGAGTTAATTGCACATGATAAAATGTGCACTGATGAAACAGACATGAAAAAGGACACCTGTTAGAAGGAAGCAGCAGTCACACACAGCTCAGGACACATGCACATTCCTGCATTAGCCATCACAGGGAGGGTTGTACACGTCCCCAACACCAGGTGCTGCTCATCTGCAGCCTGGGCACAGCCTGGCAAGGTGCCAGATTTTTTTTTTTTAACCTTTAGAAAGTTTTACTTCAGCTGCCAGCCCCTGTCCTGCTGCAGGTTCACTCCCAAATTTTACTCTCTTGCATGCCACAGTTCATCCCGTTTCTCACAGGCCTAGCAGGGCTGTGCCATGGAATAGAGATGACATTGTTGAGAGAGAGATTGAGCTAGAAACAAGTTTCAAAAGACAGCCTTGCAAAAAAACCAGATATTTTGGAGAACCAGAACTTATAAAGATGCATTGCAGCAAGACCACATGGGATAAAAAAATAGATGATTCGGGTTAGAAGTGTTAGCAAAAGCTAATAGGCTGAAAAACATTTATAAGGTATTCACAGAATTTCTAGGTTGGAAGAGACCTTTAAGATCATCAAGTCCAACCCATGTTCTAACACCTCAACTAGATCATGGCACCAAGTGCCACATCCAGTCTTTTTTTAAACACACTGAGGGATGGTGACTCCATCACCTCCCTGGGTAGATTATTCCAGTACTTGACCACTCTTTCTGTGAAAAACTTCCTCCTTCATTCTAGCCTGTATCTCCCTTGGTGCAGCTTGAGACTGTGTCCTCTTGTTCTGTCTGTTGTTGTGTGGAGAAAGAGACCAACCCCCTTGTTGGTGCTCTGTTTCTAGAGTCCCATACTGTTGTTATCAGATTTCTAAAGTCCCATACCTCCTCAGGGTGTTCTTATGGCTGCAGAGCTTCACAGCACAGACCCCTTCTGCATGTTGTTCTTTCTCAGTTCAGGGCTCCTTCAAGGCTCTCCCTACCTGGCTAACCCACCCCCTTTTATCCCAGTTATCTTCATTAGTCACAGCTGCAGCCCAATTAAGCACATCGCAGCTGCAGCCCATCAAGGACAACCGGGACCTCCCGGGGCAAAGCCTATATACAGATATTTAAGTACAATACATTTCCTCTACTATACCCCCTGCTCACCACAGTCACCCTTCAGGAAGTTGAAAAGAGTGATAAGGTCACCTCTGAGTCTCCTTTTCTCCAGGCTGAACAACCCCAGCTCCCTCAGTCGTTCTTCATATGGCTTGTGTTCCAAGCCCCTCACCAGCCTTGTTGCTCTCCTTTGGACACGCTCAAGTATCTCAGCGTCCCTCCTAAACTGAGGGGCCCAGAACTGGACGCAATATTCAAGGTGTGACCTCACCAGTGCTGAGTACAGGGGAAGAATGACCTCCCTGCTCCTGCTGGCCACACTATTCCTGGTACTAGCCAGGATGCCATTGGCCTTCTTGGCCACCTGGGCACACTGCTGGCTCATGTTCAGCTGACTGTCACCAGCACGCCCAGGTCCCTTTCCTCCTGAGCACTGTCCAGCCACACCGTCCCCAGCCTATAATGCTGCAGGGGGTTATTGTGGCCGAAGTGCAGGACTCAGCACTTGGACTTATTGAACTTCATCCCATTAGATTCTGCCCATCCATCCAACCATTCCAAGTCCCTCTGCAAAGCCCTCCGTCCCTCTAACAGATCCACACACGCTCCCAGCTTAGTGTCATCTGCAAATTTGCTAATGAAAGACTCTAAACCCTCATCCATGTCATCAATAAAAGTATTAAACAGAACTGGCCCCAGCACAGACCCCTGAGGGACACCACTGGTGACTGGCCGCCAGCTGGATGCGGCACCATTCACCACCACTCTCTGGGCCCGGCCATCCAGCCAGTTCCTAACCCGGCAAAGAGTGCTCTTGTCCAAGCCACGGGCTGCCAGCTTGTCTAGGAGTATGCTGTGGGAGACAGTGTCAAAGGCCTTGCTGAAATCCAAATAAACAACATCTACAGCCTTCCCTGCATCGACTAGGCGGGTTACCTGGTCATAAAAGGTGACCAGGTTGGTCAAACATGACCTACCCCTCCTAAACCCATGCTGACTGGGTCTGATACCCTGGCCATCCTGTAAATTCTGTGTGATGGCTCTTAATATAAACTGTTCCATTATCTTGCCAGGTACTGAGGTCAGGCTGACTGGTCTATAATTACCAGGATCCTCCTTTTCACCCTTTTTGTGAATGGGTGTCACATTGGGCAGCTTCCAGTCATCCGGAACCTCAGCAGTGAGCCAGGACTGTTGGTAAATGATGGAGAGTGGCTTTGCAAGCTCATTTGCTAGCTGTCTTATTACCCTGGGGTGGATCCCATCTGGTCCCATAGATTTATGAACATCCAAGCATTTCAGTAGTTCTTTGACTGCCTCCTCTTGGATAATGGAGGGACCATTCTGCTCCCTGACACCATCAACCATTCCAGGTGGGCAGGTGTCCTGAGGGCAAGTCATCTTCCCACTAAAAACTGAGGCAAAGTAGGCATTAAGCACTAATGCCTTCTCCTCATCTGCAGATACTAAGTTCCCTCCCTTGTCCAATAAAGAACAAAGGCTGGTCTTACCCTTCATTCTAGCATTGATGTATTCGTAAAAACATTTTTTATTATCCTTTACAGAAGTTGCCATTCTAAGTTCAAAATGAGCTTTGGCCTCCCTAATTTTTTTTCTGCATGTTCCAGCAGTCTTCTTGAATACTTCCTTAGAGATCTGACCCTCCTTCCAATGCTGATACATCCTCTTTTTATTCCTAAGTTCCTCCAAAACCTCCTTGCCCAGCCAGGCTGGACATTTACCCCGTTGACTGATCTTTCTGCATACAGGGACAGTCTGTTCCTGTGCCCCCAAGATCTCAGTTTTGAGGCATGCCCACCTTTCCTGAACTCCTTTGTTTTCAAGGGCTCTTTCCCAAGGGACACCGAATAAGTCTCCTAAACAGGCCAAAGTCTGCCATCCAGAAGTTCAATGTAAGAGTCTTACTGGTGCCAAATATTCACCAAATATTGAGAACTCTATTATTTCATGATCACTCGCCCCAAGGAAATAGGGTGGCTTCTGATAGAATGGTGATGTGTTATGTCTCACCCTTCTACGAGACTGATAATGGAATAAAGTCTTTTAAAATGCCTCTCAGTCTCTGTAGAGCTGGGATTTTCCAACACAGCACCCTCATGTCTCCCACAGCCAGCACCCGGGTTTGAGAGGGTGATGCCCTTGAGAGGAGAGCTAATGTCTTTACAAACAATTCCACGGGTGAAGCTATGGGTGTTAATGGCTTTGAAATGGGTCTGAGTGTCTCTAGTGCAGCAGGTTTGTTGCAGAGCTTGGCTCCTGAAGCAGATAAGGGTGTGCAAAAGCTTGAATTTCCGAACTTCGGGGTGAAATGACAGGTTGAAGGCGGGATATGTGGTAGGTGGTTCGGGTGGGCTGTACCTTCCTTACACCTCAGCCAATGGGGAAAGGAAGAGGGCAACATGCTGCCGGGACTTTAGGATTAAAGGAGGCTGTGCCCTCCAAAACCTTGCTCCAGTGGGCTCTCTCCCTTTATTCAAATAAAGTTGCAGGGATCCTCTGTCTCTTTTTTGGACATAAATCTCTGGATTTTGTGGATTTTCCTGATTTTTCCTGACACCCTGAAGGACTATTTTCCCTAGGCCTAGTTAAATACTATTAAGCAGTAAATCAAGCATTTCTCACCAGTGATGATCATCACCCACGATAAACTGGGCAGCCTTCAGGCTGCAAGAAACTTCTTAATCCAATTTTTCTGCTCCCCCCGCCCCGCCACCCGCAGGTTAATATTCATCCCTTCATTCTTGGTGCAATGGCCACGTATTTCCATCCCTCAGGGTCTGGAT